TATGGCACCTCAGTGCATTTGTAAACTAAAGTGCCACCCAATTTCACTTCGTACCGCAGTGTACTCTCGTATTGGCAAAACTAACTGACTTGTGTGAATTTTTCGCTTAGGAATGAAATCCGACTAAATGTTCCTGAAACATCTCTAAAAACTCCAATACATCGCATATACAGAATGCGCAGCTGTAATTATACTTACTAAACATTCTTCCTCATGAGTTTCTCAGCAGATGCGTGCAGCTAGCAATCGTTCAAATTGGTAAAACACCAAAAAAGCAAATTTCTTCTTAAAAAAATCCTTATTGCATGAAGTTAGAAAGTACCTTATCAACGGTTCACAAAGTAGGTTTCCAGATTTGTATGGAAGACGAATTCTGCCTTTTAGCCGCTAATCGATAATACTAATTTCTGATATGCGGTATATGCTCTTGTATACTTGATACCGGCTCAGCAGTATACTTTAGACCGAATCGAATAAATAATCGAGTATTCGAATAAAATATCCGAAAAAAAACCTCGAAATTCGACTATTCAGAAGTTTCAAAATGAATATGTTCGATATTCGCTTATTGAAATTCGTCAATCTGAAAAATTTTCGATTATTCGGTTATTCGAACTTTCAATTTTCGAATACATTCGAACATTCGAATATTTAAAATTATTCGATTATTTAACATTCTCGTGTAATTGAATAACTAGCAAGGCTCTGCATGAGGTGGCTTTTTCAAAACTTCAAAAACGATCCCCGTAGACTTCATCACAAAAAGGCGACATTATCTAGGGGCGACCATGACTGGATCAAACATGAATAATGAAAAATATTGATAGAACAAAACATAACAACATTGGAATTGGCGGCACGCTGTTTCCACCGCGCACCATTGCCTGCTTGGAGTAGGCTTGCCGTGGTCATAAAAATATTTGGAGGGCGAGGAGAAGGGGTTTTGGGAGTTCCAAAATCTCAGTCGTAGGGTTTTTGATATAGAACAAAGTTATGTTGGATATGTGAAAAATGTGAAGGGAAAAAAATTAGTGACCTTCTTACAGTAACCTCAGGTGGATGTTCAGGTGGCTGGCCACTTGACTCCGAAAAGAGTTTGCCAAGCCATCAGTTCACATAATTTTCTCATAATTTTTCATACACAATCCTAGTTCCCTGTTGCCCATCTACACATCAAATTTAATGTCATTTTATTTTCTCTTCGCTGTAAACACGGCTTTTGTATTTGGCAGGTTTTTGAATACGCTTTACCGACGAACCTGTTAAGACACGAAAGCTTCGATTTTTGCAGGAATGAGATCGAAAAGGCAAGAATGACCATCTGTATCTTCTATAGAAGATAAAGTGTCATGAGAGGGAAAAGGTGATTGTGGGGAGGAAAGGGAAGTCTGGGATTTCCGCTTAGAGG